AGGCACTTATCAAATTTATTTCCCTCTTGGAAGGATGTTTTCTGGCTCCCTTTTATCACCTTCCCCGGTTTTTACCTCCCGCGGTGTCTGCGCAGCACTGAAGCACGCCCCTAACCATGACCTTGCTGCGGTTTACAGACAGTCGTGTCACGCAGGGGCCGAGCAGTTTCCCGGGGATGGATTTAAATCCACTGGGACGAGCAGAGCCTCAGTCTCCCAAATGCTGCAAAACGTAGGCGTCATCCCGCGCACACCGCTGACATCTTCGTGACAGCCCACGGCTCTGCTGCGCCTCCACGTCACCGCCTCTCGGCATTAACCGTAAGGGACAGTGGGGATGAGGATACCGTCGTTTTTTGGCACGGGTGTTGTTCGCAGTCACGTCCCAGCTCGTGTCGGGAACCCAGTCCAGTCCCTTCCCAGCCAGGCGCCCTGCGCTCGCGTGTATTGGCACCAATCGAAATACCGAGTGAATTCTTCATCCCCAAAGAGTAAACACGCTGTAAACGTCCTCACTGCTTTAGCACGCTCACAGAATAATTTGGGTTGGAAATAAACTGGGGGGGTGGTGTCACCCGGTGCCAACCCTGTTCGGAGCTTCAGCCGGGCTGCTCCGGGCGATGCCGGAGCTCAACCAAGCACTACAGTGCAGCAACCATGGCCATTTGCCTTTGCATCCTGCAGAAAAACTGGATGAAGATACGAGCCAGGACCCCGGTACTAATCTATATGTATCACGTTTCATTCGGTTATCTCTTACTGCATATCGTCATAAACAAGAATAAAAAAATCCGATTTAATCGCTAAGCAGAAGCACTCCCCCGAATTTGGCTTCTGCCGTGGAAGAAAGATGGTGACAGCCGTTCAAAAGTAATTATTTTTATTTCAACTCTATAAAGTATACAACAGGCACTCGGCAATTACAGCTGCAGGGAAAATACAGAGCAAAACAAAAGCGGTTAAAGTTTATGAAAAAAAGTTCTTAAGTCTACATCAAAAGAGTACAACCGGCTGGCAACCGGTGGATGACTGACGTTTTTCCGACAAACAAAACCTCTTTCATTTAAGAAGAAAACTGGAGAAAGAAAGAATACAAAATAAAGGACCAGTGTAAAAACAGCGTAAACCGGGACTCGGGACAATAGGTAACTCCAAACGAGAATTTCCCCTTTTGCCGGTAAAACCCTTAAAAGCGCCCGAGTCTCAGCGTTACGCCTGGTTTACGCGGCCGGGGAGCTGCGGAGGACGCGGAGCTTCCAGCTTTCCAGGGCTCGCCTCCGCGGTGGGTTGCATATAGGAGGAGTGGGGACGGGGAGAGGGGGGGGCAAAAAGCACGGATCCTGTTTTGTTGAGTGGTGCGAATGAGCGACGCCTTCGCGTCGGGGTTTCAGCTCAAAAACCGCAGGTCAGGTTGCACACCGAGTCGCTCATTTTTTTTTTTTTTTGGTTTGGGTTTTTTGTTTTCTTTTTTTTTGTTTTTTTGTTTTTTTTTTTTTTCCGGGCAGGAGATTTCTAACGGGGTTTGTATAAGACGGGAGGTCGGCGCTGGACGGCACGATGGGTTGAATCTGCACAGCTTAGCAAAACAGGAATACCTGTCTACGGACTGATAGGATGTCATATATTAATTTGACCCGCACATAACATTTATACATTTCACAGAAATGACTCTGTATCTCATTAACAGATACACAGCTCTGGTACATTGAACAGAAATAAGAGAACGACTTCATCATTTCTGTAATTCATCAATATTATATAATAAAGGCTTAGAAATTGGTAGCAGAAAGAACTGTAAAACGCAGCAAGCTAAGAAAGGACGACATTTTGAGGTGTGTTTGTCTTTGTCATGCAGCATAACACCAAACTTGTAAATTTGTTTTTTTATAGGATGCCATGGATTTAAGGCACTTGCAACAATGCCAGATAGCTAGTCATGTTCTAGAACTATGGGACAGATGGGTTAACAGTACAATTGACATAAAGTTTAATAATACTGACAATTATGACATTAATTCAAGTCTACCTGGAGCTAAAAACATTACATTACAAATAAGAAAATGAAGTAATAATGCCATGGAACTCTAAAAGAAAAAGTTCTATGTGTACCACAAAATATCAACACGAAAATACCTATTTACAGAAATATTCGCTTGTGGTCCTGTTGTTAAATAAGAGTTTGCTATGGATAATGCAGCACTGTGAGAAGCTACGGATTGTCCGTGTCTGAACGACACCAATCTTCACACGCTCGGTTTAAACGCGGGAGCCGATTCCCCCTTACGTAAATATGCCGTCGTCCCATATATTAAAAAAGGAGACAAAGAAGAAAGGACAGAAAGTGGAAACACAGAGGCAATCCGTTGCTGTGAATATATATATATATATAATGCAACTCAAATATATTACTTATAAATGAAGGCGTTTACCATATACATATGCTAAGTATGTTGGTTAAAGGATGCTTAGGAAAGGTGACGGAAGTCGAGTGGGGCATTTGGTACCGAAAGAAACGTCTATTTGGAACGGTGTGGGCTGCAGGTATGGATTGCTGTGCTTGGCACGAGGAAAAAGGGCCAGGAAAAAAGAAAAATAACTCGTCCGCCCATTTAAAAACCTTCTTCCTGTAACGTTTTCGGGTGGTCCACCCCAAAAGCGTCGTGATGTTCCTTCCTCCTGGCAACCCCTTGACTGACAACTGCATCTCAGCTACTGAGCATCATCGTCTGGGGACAAACTCCTCTCTACGTTCTTCTATACAGAAAATTACCAAATGCAACAAGTCGTCTCCTCCAACGCCGCCACATCCGTCAAGTGAAAAACCAGGGGGATGCGAGCGGAGAGCTCGGTTTTTAGGCAGCAGCCTGTTGGCTAAGATGCCTGGTGATTATTTCGGCCCTAGGATTCAGCACTGGCTTTCAGCATCCTCCATCCCTCAGAGAAAGGCTGAAAAGCGAGCGTCTGTTTGCCCTACCAGGGTAATTCCTGGGAGAAGCAGTTACCGTCTTTTCCCTACGGTTTGCAAGGCAAAAAAAAAAAGTTTCGATGATTAATGAGTAGCGGAAATAACCTGAAGTTACTGCGCCGATGGCATCGCCTCACCCTTCGGAGAATTAGGAAGGGAATTCGGCGACACAGATTGGTTTCGAAGGGGTCATGACGACCGAGCTCTCTATTTGCTGGCAAACAGCAGACATTGTCTATGCTGTCGAAGAAGGGGAGAAAAAATCTCTTTTTAACATGCTCTGTGAAGTTGCTTTCATTAGGAATATTGAAAGAGTTGGGATCTAGCATCGGGAAAATAATTTTTTACTGTTAAAACATAGATTTTCTGCGTACTATGCAGTCAAAAGTCATACAAATGACTTTTCCACAAAAGCTGATCTTTTGACTTCCAGTGCGTACAACAGCTCTGAGATGAAACGGGGCAGCATCTGCGCATTTTTTGGGGCAGGGTCTGTTACAGAGACCGAAAGCTGATAAACTTTTAGTGCCACGGGTATGCTAACGAGCAGGCGTCCAGCACAGGATTCCTCTGTGACGTCCTGCAAATCAGAAAAGACCATGCTCAAGCAAAGGAAAAGCAGTGGAAGTCAGGGACAAGCGTATGCACAATAATATTATTTTCCCCAGCTTTTTTTTTTTTTCCCCCGTAAGAGCCGACTCAGCTCTAGCCATCCCCGTGCCTTAAACACGGTCGCTGGGGACCTGGCACAGCACAGACACGGAGACCTTGCCCAAACACATCCAGTATCGGTTTTCCATTGAATTCCACTGACTTTCCTGCCGAGCTCCTTCGTTTGGTGAGGCGTTAGGATTACGTTTTTGCGGGCAGTATTACAGAGCCGGTGAAACTGGCCCTGCATCACCTTTTATTTTTAATTAGCTTTGTACTAAACACGGAGGAGATGCAGACGTGGAGACATAAAATCATCTAAGAGTGTGATGATGGAGAACGATGCCTCTTGCTACATATTCCCGAAATGGTGGTTGACTCAATTTCTATTCACAGATGAAGGATGTACATAGCACCTATAAAGTACATTACGGGCCTTATGTTTTCCCTTTGGGTTCTAAAAAGGTAAAAACGAAGCTTAGTTTTATGCCTAATAGCTAATCAGTAATACCAGTGGGCTGCTGTCACTTTATTACAGGACCACTATTTTAGCGCTATTTTATATGTAAAATGGATTATTTTTACGATTTTTTTTTTTTAAATGCAGTTATGTATTTGTACCGAGGGAAAGGAAAAAAAGAACAAACGAACAAACCACCCCAACCCCAACTGTCGCGTTACGGTATGGTCTCAGCTGTACCAAAGAAGCGACCCATGTCTGCCTTAGTAGGACCGAGAGCAGTTGTGCTTTTGTTTTACCAGGCTAAAAAAAAAAAAAATAAATTCTCAAAAAAGAAAGAGGAAAGGTAACATTCAGTCTTGTCAAGAATACTGCTCGGAAAGAAAAAGGACAAATTTTACCACTGCTTTGACGTGAACTCTCTGACAGGTACTGCTGTGGCCCTCCTTTGCTCCTCCACTGGCCCACAGCAGAAGACCTCCAGAGTTTGGAGGGTGGGAGTAGCCCAAATCTCACGCTGTATTTAGCTACAGCGCTTAATAAATTACTACTGAGCCTACTGATAAAGCCAGTACCTTGCAGCTAGAATTAAGTGCATCTTACACTACGTATCTCTCGACTTTTATAATTAAGAGCGCAGCAAGATCGTCGCAGTGACAGAAAAACATATTTTCTTTACTGGTGAAAGGCTTTGCATCAGGACCACCATGTCAACTGCTAGTTTAAGTTCGAACGTAAAACATGAAGAGCACTGTTGTCATCTAAGCAATTAAGTCCTAATGCCACTGTAGTTACTGTAGCAGCATCAATCAAGGCATCATGGTGACCCCGAGCACTAATCCTCCCCAATTCTTTCGGTTTCGCTGGCAGCCATGTCCCAGGAAGCTGTCTTCAGCAAGGCAGAAGCAGGTTAAGAGAAATACATTAAAAATCTATGTCCCATCCTGAGTTGTCGTCAGGGGGCGGTTCGTCGCTGTCCTCCGGGAAGCTGTCGAAATTGCTTGTGTCTGTCGGAGATGCAACCTGTGGAAAGAAGAGCGCAACAAGAAGGGGATGGTCATCACAGCAGACCTCTGCAGACGTCTCCTCTCTGTCTCACCGCCGTCGTCGTTTAGAAACGTCCGGCAGCGAGCGAGAAAAGTTCTACCTTCAACAGCTTTTTACCGAACCCCAGGAGGACTTCCCACAGCCCCCCTACTCCACCCCGATGATCCAGGCTCTCGAGGGTCTCTGGTTCAAGAACGACTTTCCCACCTGCTGGCCACAGGTCGTAAGGAAAGAGGCAGCAAAGCCCTGGGCCTCCCCAAAGCATCGGGTCTCCCCAAAGCACCGGGTCTCCCCAAAGCCCCGGGCCTCCCCAAAGCCCCGGGCCTCCCTAACTCCCTAACGCGCCGGGCCTCCCCAAACCCCTGGGCCTCCCCATAGCCCGGGGCCTCCCTAAAGCACCGGGCCTCCCCAAAGCCCTGGGCCTCCCCAAAGCCCTGGGCCTCCCCATAGCCCTGGGCCTCCCTAAAGCACCAGGCCTCCCCAAAGCCCTGGGCCTCCCCAAAGCCCAGGTTTTCCAATTTATGGCTCCAGAATCCTGAATTTGAGGCTGTGAGCTAGGCCCTGCTGCCTCTGACTTTCCTGCTCACCGTAGGGAGCCTACCAGAGAAACCCAGCTTCCTAGGACAAAGGCCAACTACATTTCTTTTCTGGAAATAATGGCATTTAAAATCTACCGTAGATACATAATTTCTATTTTTTTTTTTTTTTAGCTTTATGATGATGACTGAAACTTTCTTACAATGAGACCCTCATTCATTCAATGCAATTAAAAAAAAAAAAAAAAAGAAACAACACAAAACCAGACCAGCAGCTCTCCGTACCAAAATAATCAGAGTCTGACTAGAGAAAATCAGCACTTTAAGCTGCACGCCGAGCAGCCAGCGCAGGCTGGAGGGCACTGCACTCGCCACAGGAGCGCTCCACAGGAAACACTTGTGGTATTTTCCAGTGGTTTCACTTGTGCAGCTGGTGCAGAAGCCCCGGCCAGAGCCCGCAGTCCAGGAGACGTATCTGATGCTGGATGCTGCCATAAGCCTGGGGAAAGGACTATTTGATCAACAAAAGCTCCAACTTCAGCTCTAAATGTAATTTGGTGCCTGGCTGCATCAGCGTTTTCCTGCTGCTGGAAACATCTTGGGGAAAGTTAAGATTCTTGAATACCCAACTCACTTTGAAAAAACCCACCCTGTAAAAGCTTACTGTAGTACTGCAGAGGGATGAGCTGCCCCACTCTGTACTGAATACCCTAATTTAATTTCGTTTGAGTTCTCTGGATCTCTTCACTTTGCTGGTGCTGGCGCTGTTGGGTTGGAGAGCCTTCATCCTTCGGGTCCTCACCCTTGGGGTGCTCCACGCTCGCCCTCCTCCACAGTCCCACAGGCTGGCCCACATCCCTCTGTTTTCCTCAGCCCACCCCACGCGAGCTCTCTCTCTGCAAGCAGAAGTGTCGGGGACATACGTACAAGGTACCAGCTACCAAAGCGTAAGAGACGCGGTTGGTGCGGCCGTTCACAGAGGACGCGCGCGAGCTGGAGCACCTTGCGAATGGACAGTGTGTAAGTGGGGTGCACTGGGTGAAAGCATCTGTGGAGCTCCCTGGGGCTCCTCTGCAGTTGTCCACTCTGGAAGCACCTAGCGGCACAGGTGCTTTTGCTTTTTCTTAGAAGAAACATGAATTGGGGAAAAAAGGTTGGATGAGTTGCTACTCTGCCGATTGACACTATGTGATGCCAATGCTGTGATTCCCCACAGCTCTTGAGGTCCTGCAGCCCTTCACTGGCAGAGCCATGGGAGCAAACGTCCCTCTCAATGCCCTCTCCGGCCGAGAAGGGACACTCTAGATTTATCTCCTGTCCATCCAAGAAGATAAAGTGCAAACATCAGTATCAGCTTCCTGAGTCCTCACCAACATAAGGGCTTGAGATGAATTACGGCACAGAGCTCTGCATGTCATTCTCAAAGGCAACAGCTGTGATGCAAGACAGCACGTCTTTGGAAGAGTCAAGAAGTAGGAGAACTTTTCAGGACAGCTACCATCACAGATTTAAGCGGTGGCATTGAGGATCAGCTGCTCCCTGAAGCAATGTCCTAGGAACAGGCTCTAAATTGAGTTCTTTCCTAAACCCCCGTGGAGTAAGAGCTAAGGAGCAGGTTTCAATTGCCTCACTGGTAGTACCATGTAACTGCTGATGAGGGTTGAAGAGCTAGGGAAGGCCTTTTTTCTTAAAAAAACCCACCACAAAACAAACTAGTGTCTGTGTTTAACCCTACTGGCTCCTTTCCAGCTAAGAAGGAGAGGTGCGCTGATTGAAGGAAAACCTGATTTCTTCTCCCACAGCTGTGTATTTCAGGTCACTTCTCAGATACGGCCCTTACTGGCAGTTGGGACTTCAGCCAAAGCAATGGAAAAAATTGTGGAACACAAGGCTGAGCAGGACTGACAGCTTTGGGGTTGATGAGGTTCACTAGTTAATGGAGTCAGGTTTTGGAGAGGATCTCAAGAGTATGGCTAGAGAGGATGTTAGTCCTAAGAGCTCTAGGAAAGAATGAGCTGTGTTGAGTTGGGATTAGGGCAATGCATGGCTGTCAGCACTGAGAGATGTCCTGAGAGAAGCATTCCTCTGAAGAGAGAAGGATGCTCCCATCTACTTTGGACAGCCTTGATGGTGGTGTGCTGGCCATCAGCGTGATGATCAGCAGATCGCTCTCTTGGGAGCAATCACAGACATGTTGCCTGGTAGGACATCGCCAGACCCATGAACACACAGCCTTGACGATGCCGAGAAATAATGCCAACAAAGCGAACCGGCTGCTCACACATCCCTTTTCTCCTACCGCGTTGGACCTAACTGAAAAAAGCAAAGAAAACGTGATTTCCTGTGCAACAGGCTGCTGAAGAGCGACCTTCCTCTAGGCAATGCCAAAGGAGGAGAGACCTTTCTGGCGATGGAGCAACGTCCCAGCTTGGGGACATTCATGCCTGTAGAGTGCAGATACTGCTGAAGGCACTGCTGTCTGAGGGTTAGACATACAGGGTCCGTACAGATATTGGGTAAAAGCAGCACTGGAAATGCTCTTGCTAAATGAAAAATCCACTAAAAACTATTAGAAAAACATACTGGGGCATTTTTGGGCTACACTGACATCCTGCACAGGTAAACCAGGGACTGAAATTGGATGCAAAGGGGCAAACTTGATATTATTGTCTGACCTGAAATGTGGTGAACAGCACGGCTGACAAATTCATAGTCATTAAAAAGAAGCTTAACAGAAAGAACCTCACAGTTTGGATTTATAAAACATTTTCTTTGTTCTTTGGGCATCCTGCTTTAGGCAGATATTTGTTCTGCTTTCTCCCACTGACTGCCAGCACCTTCTGCAGCCCATAGGGCAAAAATCTGGGTGGGGGGAAGCAAAACCCTCTTGCTCTTTCATGGGGCGAAGCAAAACCCTCTTGCTCTTTCATGGCAGTTAAGAAAACTTTGGGCTGGCAGATTTAGCCCCGGAGCCGTGGCCGCCGCTGCCGCAGGAGGTGCAGGACCACGGGTGGATGGAGCGACGGGGCACAATTAAACACGATTGCTAATGTCATTCTCCGGGTGATCCCGCGGGAGAGGCGCGGAGAGAAAGGGATTAAGTTGAAACAAGGAGGGGAGGCTGGAGAACAGAAGGGGCCAAGGTAATTTCTATCAGCTAATCCTGTTTGGTTTCCCTTTGCGGCAGGCTTTGTGGCTAAAGAGCTCACAAAGACATCAAAGGAAGAGCTTTGCTCCAAAGGAAAATGAGTCGAGCTGTCCCTCCGCGTCTGCTCCCGGTTAAACATAAACTAGGCGGTAACAGGGCTTTTCATGTAGGACACGGACGCAGGGGGAAAAAAAAAAAGAGTGAAAAGCACAAAAGAAAAGGCAGAGGGAAAGGTTAATGCAAAAGAAAAGGGAGATGGCATACAAATCCCACTTGCCTCGTCAAAAGAAATAAGAATAAAGAGAGAAAGAAAGAGGACGCATCTAAGAGAAGGGGGTGAAAGTGGCAGCTCTCCACTGAAATGTGAAAAGTAGCCGAAGAAACAAGTGGAGCAGGTGAGGAAGAGAAAACCATGTGGTAGCGAGTGAGCCTGCCTCGATCTCCTGCTGCAAAGAGCACTGCATCGCAGTCGTGCCCTCCCCAAACTGCCTTCCCCTGGCAGAGGCTGCCAGGAGACCAAGGAGAGCTGGAAATGTCTCTAACGTGGCTTCTTCAAGCATCTTCAGGAGAAATAAAGCACGTGCTGTCGCCACTTAACTCCGGTGGGTTAGTGCCCGAAGCTCACGA